ACGAGGTCAGCTGATCTGCTTGGCATTTAAATCGTAGTAAAACTGGCATTTAAACGCTGCGAAACAACTTACGTACAACGTAGCTCCGATTTGCCGCTCTTTCTTTTTCATCCCTCCGATTTTCTTCCGATCAAGAGAAGTTTCGTACCGAGAGAAGTTTCGCAGCCACGTCCGATATAACTTACGATAGCACGGATCCCCCCAGCCTCTGTGTCGTGTCTGTGTGCGAAGACTGTCGACAGTGATAAATGCATGTGACAACACTATCTTCAGCGTACTCAGCGCCGCATGATATATTTCTGGAGCATGTATAACACCGGAGCTTGCAGTTCAAACAGCGCAAGTGTTGTCATATCAACCTACCGACATGATGAGATTCGGCAGTATTTTAAGAAGTTTGTGATCCATCTCCAAGGATCAAATGCGAAAAGGGAGACCATTCACGTTCATTTAAGTTCTTGACCCATTTAATTCTCGGTTTCGTTTATATTCGCCATCCTAAAACTATCTACCGGCGGGCGAATTAGTTTCTTCCTGTCCAGTGTCCATCTAACCCACTGTTAAACCCAGCCATCCGGCTCTGCAGCTCCCGGCACCATTATTTCAGCCATATATCTGCCGGTGGCGGAAGTCCATTGCCGTCTGTGAGGCGCCTCCGTCAGCCCTGGATGACCATAGCGTGGTCACGTGTCTTTTGTGACCACCTTACAGTGGAGGTGTCACCGGCAGCCTTGTTTGTCACGTGACTGGCCATTTTTCAGTGGAGGTGTCTCCGGCAGGCCGGGATAAAAGACTATGGTGGATCACGTGTCTCTTCTCGCTGTTCTAGCTGTGGAGATGTCTCCGACAGCCCTGGATAGCCATAGCTGGGTCACGTGTCTCTTATACTGACCCTGTCACGAAGCGCTGGCCAAGTATATCGTTGTCACGTGACCAATATCTTGTTGATCAATTGTCGGCGATGCATCAGTACCTGTGTGATTTGTAGGTATGGTGTAAGTCTCAGGATAGACACATAGCCTTTGGAAGATGAAGACCGTCACAGTTCACATGCATTGGGAATCTGGGCTTATTATGTGATATTTTACGGTGTGTAGTGGGTTCCGTTTTGGAAGGAACCAACATATCACCCACATCCTTCTCATTTCGCCGACGTAACGCTTCCTTCCTTCCACTCCCCTATCCTCTATCCTCACCGACAGAGAAGTGCTTACCCCTCATTTACTTTCCAATCAGTCCCCATAGCCCCTCAGGAAGCTACAATGTGTCTTACTCATTTCTTCTTCCTTCCCGGCGTCCTTCATCTCCCCATAGACCCGGAAGAAGCTGGCAAACTGATCTGAATGCCAGGGGACGTTTGGGGGAGATCATTGTCTTCGTGAGCAGACTTCCTGCTTTGTCCACGCTTGTGGAGCACGTTACGATGGCGTGCCGCTATCAAGGGTGTGGTTGGATGGCTGTAGAACGCTTCGTAACGATCTCGCCTCGTGGGACTCGTGGTGGCTCTAACTCTTGTCGAGTAAGTGATCGTCTGGGCTCCGTCTTTAATAGCTGTTTTTGATAGCGGGGGCATTCCACGATAGATCGTACCACTTTTTCCAATTTGACACCCTCATCTCTCGGAATTTGACGAGAATTGGTCTCAGGGGTAATCAGGGGCTCTGAATCCACCTGTAACAATTTCAGGCTTATCAGATAAGTATTTTTTGAGTTATGGTGTATAACATTTTTTGGATCTTGCTTTGCAGCGCTAAGTTTGGCGGGCTGTAACTCTAAGACGGATTATTCAAATGCCAAATGTTATATATCATTGAACTTGCAATGAAACAGAGATTAATATATATTTTTGAAATTTCGGAAAATACGCTTTTTTGGATATATGACATATCGAGTTTTCTTTCATTTGTATTTTTTGGTCTTTGGGACCAAATTTTTTTGAATTTTTATTTCTTTAAAAAAATATTTGGCTCATTGTTAACAAATATGCAAAAAATTAGGAAGGTGTTCTTTCTATAAATGTATTTATTTTACGTCACGATAACGGTTTCGAATAGTGATTTCGGGAGGGGAGCTTACAAATGGCGTGGTAAAGCTGCCTAGTGACATCACGGGTTACTGAAATTTCAATTGAAGTCTGAGTCATCTGAAAAAAAGTGAAAAGAGGGTTCATCCAACCCTCTTTCCTATAAGCGCGAGGGTGAAAAAGGCTGTTTGGTTCTGACATTGTTTTGGACGCCAACGACCATATCTGTCCGAGATGAAAGTTACAGGACGCATAAATGGTGTCCTCCAGAGGTCTCACAACTTGTATATCTGGGAATTTTTAAGGTTACGTGAGGTCAGGTCGGTCACGTGACATCACTGTTATAAGTCAATGGGGAAATACAAAAACTGTTATTTTGGCGCGGAGAATGATCCAAAACTATCCCACGCACATGGTATCGTGATTTCATGCACTTCTTGCAAAGTCCAATGCTTTTCTTTTGCATTGGTAACCTTGCGTGACGTCATTTATGACGTCACTAGGGTCGTACGAGTTTTTCGTCAATAACTCCCGATCAAATGGAGCTAGAGAGTCGAGAAAGCCACCAATGGACTCGGGAAGACCTTCCGAATCGAATGATATGCCATATGATACCCTTTGCCCAGCTTCGTGACCTGAGGGGCTCTGACCTGACCTTGATCCGAGGTCAACTACATAAGTTGACTTCACCCTAGCAAAAAGTATACCATTCGATGCACCAGAGCTAGGCGAACACAATGATGCCAAAATCGCGGCTCTGCGGCCATTTTTTGCGAAGTTATTTACTAAAAACCGAACCCGTAACTTCAGTCACTTGACCTGACCTCAGACGCTACCGGTTAAATTGAGACCTTAAAATCGGGTGCCAATCGCTGCGACTTGTTGCGGCACACACGCTCGTTTTTTCCGCGAGGCTCTAGCTCTATTAGAAGCGAAACGGCGTGCTGGGGTCGTATCAACCCCTCCGAAACCCATTTTGTTTGCGGGAAAATGAGGATTTTATAGAAAGAACACCTTTCTATTTTTTTGCATGTCGATTTGCAAAGACATGAAGTTTATTTTGAAAAAATAAAAATTTGAAAAATTTTGGTCCCAAAGGTCATTAGAGGCAAATGAAAAAAGATAAAGGTTTTTGCTCAACAATGAAAATTTTTCTTTGGAATTTCTAAATGGTAATATTAATTTTTGATTCATCGCAAGCTTAGTGTTGTTTACTGTTTGTTGGTAGCTTAACCCGTTCTTGAGTTATAGGCCATCAAACTCACCGTTACAAACCGAAGTTAAAAAATGTAATGCAACATAACTCAAAAAGTTTTGATCTGAGAAGTCTGATATTTTGCCAGGCGTCTTTGGGGCCTATGATTACCCCTAGGACGGATTTTCATTAAAATCTGAGAGATGAGGGTGACGGGCCTGGTACGATCTATCGTGGAACGCCCCAGCGAGCTTAATAGCTGCTTGCTAGGTATTCGTCATTCGGGATGGTTCTAGAACGCTGCTGAAGTCTCGGGACTGCCCTGGAAAACTCTGTGCCTACGGCGTATCTGGATGAATGTGTCGTCATCAGAGCACCCAGATGACTGAGGCGCGATTCCTATCAATGTGGGGGTGCCGGCCGGCGGATGCGTCACCAAGGGTCACATCACGTGCTTCTGACACCGGACTCCTCAGGAAGCCGCGGGGCTCGGTACGGGCGCTTCCAGACGGAGCCCCAGGGGAGGTGGGGGGAGTTTGGGTCAGGTGGCCGAGGGAGGGGGATTTGGGTCGATCGGCCGCGGGAGTCGGCGAAACGGGAAGGGAAGACTGGTCAGGGGGCGTGTCAGTCAGCGGCGAAGGTGGTTAGATGGTGGGTCTATAACGAAACAATTCAAAAGTTAGGAAAACAAAAACTTAGGGACTATGATATGAGTAGTTCGAGATCGTTGATGTTGCGATCTCCCCCGTCGAAATGTTTAACAAAGCTACACTTGCCAGTTGTAGTCATGTGATTATGCTCTAAGGCACTAGTGGATCCGAGGGACTTCATCAAAGACCGCTAAGTAGTGCCAAATTAAATCAGTCTTGTTGAGCTAAATTCTGAACTAGCAGTGCCAGAAATGCAAGAACTTGCGAGAATCTCTCATCTCACTGAAGATCTCCTTGATGTAGTTTCCGCTAATTTATTTAGAACTCTGTGAAGGACTTCCCAAGAATCCCTTTCATCCCACTAAAGATCCACTTGGTGCAGCTTTCGGCAATTGATTTAGGCTCTCGAAAGACTTTCCAAGAATCCCTCTCGGCTAATTACGAACCTACTGGGCGCAGCAAGACCGCCAGATCTGACCACCTCTCATTGTGGTTGGTCGGTGGAACGCTCAATTGGTTCCATTGTCGAGAGCGGCGCCAGGACCAATCAGTGGCGGTCGCTGATAAGAGCGCTGCCTCCGGCCATTGATCCGGTCCTCGGTGGTATTAGGTGAAGCTCTCGGCAGAGCACCGGTTGACCAACTATCCGGGAGCGGGTCAATAGCAAACTCCGTTCTAGAATGCTGCTACGAAAAAGATCTTGGTCGGCATTGCTTTTTAACTTTACCTTAACCTTACCTTAAGCAGTAAGCAGTTGATGTTTTTGATAACTAGATAACGTTTCCTGGTTTTTTTTGTATCATCATTGGTTCTAATTGGCGTCTGAATTATTAGCTTAACCTCACTGTGGCAAGCTAGTGCAACCACACCTCTGACCTCCCCCTTCGCGGTATGGCTTTTCTTCCTCCTTCGGCATATGCCCCTCCTATCTAGCCTTTTCTGCTGCCCTTCTTACTCCACATCCTCATGTGCTAACACCTCGCCTTTCCAGGTGGAGATGTGGGGTACGGACGAGTGCGGTTTCCCCACTTGCGGACCTTCACTTGCGGGTCCCCTGTGGATCCTCCACGGACCACGTGATTGTCCCCTTCTCACCAATATGGCCCACGCTGACCTCCCCCTCTCCCAACAGGGTTTCGTCTTCGTCCCTCGGATGTCGGGCCGCGACAGGCTCTCAGCCCAATGTTGACATGGCAGATCATCTCCACGAGGTCCCTGAAGCAGCCATAGTCCAGCTGTGAACGTCAGCCATGTACCGCCAGCGTGACTTCAATCCGCGCACCCAGCGCCCGGCACCTTCGTAAACGCAAAAGCGCTAGTTTCGGGGACGCTACGTGCTTCAGTGCTGTCTGCGAGACTTTGTCGTGGTTGAACTGGGGACGTGGTATCGTGGTTGACGTAAGAAGGACCTGACTTGGTGAGGGATTTGGATCGTGACACAAACTGAATCGGTTTTGGACAACCGTTTATCAGTGGATGGTCATTGCTATTGACCCTGTATTTGTATTTTAACTGTGGCGTATTTATGGCTAAGTGACAGCTAAATTTTGACGTACGTTGGTGTACCTTAAGCTAAAAACGGATTAAGTTAAGTGCAGTAAGCTGGACCTGATATAACTCAACCGCGCACTGCGCTCGCGAGAATCCTTTTGTGTGTGCCCTGCCAGTACCTGTCTAGCGGCTAGTGTTAGCTTGCCTCCAGATCAAAGCAAGGCCAGTGCAAGCCAGTACTAAGCCTGGCCGAGAAGTTCAGTGCTTAAACTGCTTGGCCAAGACCTGGTCAGTACCTGAAAGAGCTCAGGGCTCTGTCGATGTCCCGCGGTTGTGGGCGTCTTGCTAAGTGCTCAAGACGAAGTGCTTAATTAGGAGTTAGGAGATCCTGAATAGCAAGCTACCGCGACTCACCTATCATCTGATTTCGTTGTGAAAAAGCTGTGACGGGTTGATGTTGGCAAAGTGACGGTGGCCGCGGCCGCCCTGTGACGACCTTCGTTACGGCTTCCGTGACGAAGCCGGCTATAGACGCTCTGCGTTGGAACTGGGGGCATTGTGGACAGAATAGTGGTGGGCCCCATAAGCGTAAGACCGAAACCTTCTCACTGAGAAGGTAACTGAAAGTTCTCATCTACGAGGACACGAGAAGGAGGCGGAAACTTCTCGGAAGCGCGGAGAGGCTTCTTCAGGAAGCTACTCGAGAGTCGAAGAGGAGGACAGGACCTTGCAGAAGCGAAGACGCTTTCCCGAGGACGAATAATCTACGAGATCACACACAGTGAGCCGACCGATACATCAAAGGTGAGTGGACATGGGGTGTTTGGGAACGAGCTGCTGGGAGTTTTAGTTTAATAGGACTTTTGATGTTACTATTGTTTCTGTTTGAAGTTGTATTACCAGTTCAGCGCGTTGCTTTTGGGCTCATTTCCATCATTTTGGTGAATCATTAGTGAGGTAAATTTAGAAAGGAGCTACATTTTTGTGGATTACTTGTTACAATTCCCTGACTGCGCATTTGGAATCGCAATTTGTTGAGTTTGATTCTTCCTACAATGCTGCTAGGCATTGTGTTGCAGTTTGACTTATTCGTTTCCAATATAGGTAGCCTTTACGCTCGTATTCGTCCAATCGCTATGCATTTTCTTAAAAAAAACATCTCATACAATGTTACCGCCTCATGTAAAACTTAACTAACATGGACCAAGCGGTTGCCAGCAAGGCCAAGTTATAAGTTTTTTTTTTTGTGGCATGCCTCCACCCATGAATTTTATGTGACCTTCGGGACAAGATGATATCAGGAAAATAACAGACGTTTAGGAATATCTGCGGAAGAAAATCAGCGTTCAAGGTAGAAATGGTATGGTGCTCTGGTCCCGATCACCTATCTTCAGACTGACGAGAAAATTGCAGTTCGGTTCAAATGCGAAGGTTCCAAGTCGTTTGACAGTTGACCTGTTAGATCGGCACGTTATTTCAGCATTAATTCGATAAGAAGGCTGAAACGACCCATTTTAAGGCAGGACACGTTTTAATATAGTTGAACATCCCTCATCGGGGCCCATACGCCTGCTTTGTTGATGAATGTCTGCGTGGAATTTGGGAAATATTTCGTTTATTGTCATACCGATGGGTTTTCATATTCCCTTGCAATTTTCTGGAAAAGCTATTATCGCGGAATTGCGTGCAATGATTGAAGGCATGTGCCTGAAGGAATTCGGTATTGCATTCTAACCTCCTCATTTCAAGATCGGATGCAATTGCATTGATGTAGTGCGATGTTTATATTTTATACTCATTCCGCGCGGTACTACGCTGTACGCATCGGACATATCGCGGTCTAGCGCTCAGCCACTTAACATACCATTCAGTCCCAGCTCTACAACCTAAAGAACTCTTGGCTTTACCCCTCATCCTCCCCTCCCCTCTGCTCTCCTCGAATGCTACACAAACCTTCAGTCAGGACCGGCCAATTGTCCTGTCTCCAAGGTTCTGCTCTGAGCTCTCGCTTACTGCCGTAGGGTTTATCGCCCCCGCCCCCGCCCCCCCCCCCCAACTCCCTTCATCGCTTGAGCCTGAGCGGTTAGACTTCGCCGTAGGTTGCCCGTTTCGGGCCCCTGGGGGCCCAGAGAAATTGCGTCGCATCGAGTTGGGGGAAGGGGGGGAGTGGGGAGGGGCACCCGACCTTGCCGGAGGCGACTCATTGTCTGAGCGGGGAGGGGAGGGGGGGGGAGGGGACTCTGGAATAGCACTCCGGCTGGGGCATTGTACTTGAAGTGAGGAAGATTCCATACGACGGCCCAACTAAGTTCTTTGGATTAAGATGGATCGAAGGTGGATTTAAAAAAAAATATTTTGGATATCGTGGATACTATGGGTATCGTGGATTATGGAGGAAGTGGAGGACAAAAACTGAAAACCATTCGCCATTATTGGGCAAAGGGCAGGATGATAAAAATAATGGTTTCGGACATTAGCGTGCAAGAAGACGACAGGCTATCGCTATCGTACCGATGAGGTAGCGAATTCACCTGACTGAGTCTGTCTGCTCTAAAATGCCCTAGCTTCGTAGTTCCTGGTATGGTTTTAATTAAAAACGTCTAACGAGGCACTGGCGCCCACTAATGTGCTTGGTTTTTAATTTTGGGCAATGTTTGTCGACGAACCTTGCAGAGACATCTATGTACTTGTTACACAAGACTTCCTATAATCCACATAGCATTTTAAATGTTTATCTGTGGCTGCGTTTAAAATGCATTTCATCGATTCGTGGACCCCTTCATGCTCAATTAATCTGATGTCTTGAAGAATTATGAAACCTAAATTCACCAAATTTAACATGACATCTGAATGCGACGCAATTTTCCTCCGTTCGTCCAGTGAAAACACGTAAGTGCCAGACACGTCAACCTGGGACACCAATCTATCGATTCTGGCAACGGCCATTATTGATTAGGACTGGCTGAGTCAGATCTGGCGATTTCTGACCCATCGTCCGTCAATCCTGACCAGAGGGTTGGACAAACTGTTGGAGCTGTGCCCCCACATGGCTAGGCGACGTCTTATGTCCCGTATGATGCGACAAATATTCAGCTTGATATGTTCATGTTTTTTTCGCCACAAAGTTATGTTTTAGCGAGCGAACAGTGCGTAGCTTTTAAAGGGTTTACACAGACTAGGTATAGTAATAAAGATATATTTCACAAAACAATATTTTTGTAGAGTTTATATTTCTTTAAATGTTTTGCTAAATTTATTTCGTTATATATGTTCTTAATGGATTTTATTTTTGGCACTGTAGCATCATCGTTCAGCATCGCGGTCATCGCAGCCAATTAAATGACTGATTTCTTCACAACTGCCAAACTCGGCCCAGGACAATTAATACATTTGGAATTTAACCAAAATATACCAGGGCCATACATAACGTCCCGGGACTATTGTAGGTATCTAAACCTATGACTCCCATACGACCGCTAACCCGTGACCGTTCAATGACCTTGAAAGTAATCCTCCGTGCACCTCCCGCCGAACGTCTTTTTCCATCATCTCTCTGATGGCTCACTGATGGATGGGCGTTGGGAGCGCCCGCGTGATGTGATAATCACCAATCAGCCGCTCAGAAGGCCCCGTGGTGTGAACGGGCGGCGATAGACTCTGGCCGAAAGTGGAAAAGTATTCTGTTTTATATGGCCTTTGGTTATGCTTTTTGGACGTGTGTTTGGGGGAGGGGGAGTTGAAAGCAAATGAGTCATACATAATTTCATACAGTTTCTCGCATTGTCTCGATTTATTTAGATAGCAGCGCTTTACTATTATTTTGACAAAATGTGAAAGCACCACGGCAAGATATTTTGCCTATATGAGTCATGACGTGCATGCACCAGTAAAGAAATTGCTTGGTTTTCTACATTTCTTTAAAAATGATTTATGAACGTTACTGAATAAATTTTGTATTTGCACCGATCACGTCCCTCTACAGGCCTACACATAGCATAATTCGCCATAACACTGCGTTACAGCCCAGCTTGTGCCCCCAGGTTTGGAGCAATGGGACATCAAGAGTCGCCCTTCTCACCGTTCGCCGAGGCACCTCCGTCTAGGAAGGAAACATCCAAAAAGGTGGGCCGTGGTAACTACACACTAAACAGATGCTAATCTGGGGCGGTGTCCGTTGTGGCACGCACTTCCGCGTGGAGTTTTCGAGGAAGCCAAGGTCAAGGTGCTTTTGTTCAGGTCGTAACTGATCACAGCTCCGAGGGCATTTGGTGAATTTTCAACCTTATTTGATTTGCTACTCATTGGCAGTGTCTTATCACCTAAGCATTTTATGCTTTGAAGTTGTTGGAGCTTCATTTTCTATTTCTTTTTCTGTTTTTTTCTTCAAACATTGGCTAACAAGCAACAAGCAAAACGAAGCAGCTCGCCGAAGCCACATGAGTGGTAAAGTGGCTCGCCACTTTAAAGCATTAGCCAGCCAAGAAATCCTCCTTTTATCGGACTTCTTAAGGCCTCTGGCGACGTCGCATGACTTCCTTTCGACTGCACGAAACGATGCTATTCATAGGAAATGGCCTGGTGTCAACCTGTGAGAGGCCTCTTCCGTATCGCGGGAGACGCCACCACTAGGTCACGTTCTTGGCTTAGTGCCAGTCAAGCCTGACATTCTATTAGTTTCCTTGAAATGATAAACGTCAAAGAACACTCAGCATTTTGTTTCCGACGAATTTAGCGCAGATATAACGCACTAACGAACTATTCTGTTTTGTTTATCGAATTTCTTCAAATTGACTAAATTCTGAGTCGCCAACTTCCTACAACTCCCTGATAATTCTCGATCAGCATACCTTATCACCCATCTAAACATAATCAACGTCGAAAAAACATCTCCCACGTACACATCCAAGCGCAATCGAAGACGACAACACGCTCCGCGAAGTTTCAAGCAGGTGCCCCAGTCTCCTGAGTCGCGATGCGGTCTCCTTGCTCGGTGAAGGTCAGTGCTACTTCCTGCTTATATCGCCAGCTGGCGACCTCGCCCTGGCCACCACCGCGTGAGAGAGCACAGCTCTTTGAAGAGCCGCCACGGGGTACCCATGGGTGTGCTTGGAGCCATGCCATGCTTGTCGATAGGTGGATGAAAACATGATCGGTTTGTTGTGATCGAATGTTGGCACGCTAGATATTTTAACTGCAGTCATGTGCGCAGAAACCGCGGGGAGGTGTTTTTCACATTTTAGCTGAACCTTTCGCTAAGGTCCACGTTTTCAAGGGTCTTTTGAAGGCTGGAAACAGCGCTATGTAACACGACACATTTAGACAAACTCACACAATACATATAATCACTCCGCATTATCGCAGGACAGCATAACGATGTCTACTGATTTATCCACTGTCTTACGCGTCTTGTCAGTGTCCAAAATCACTTGAGAAATAGCTTCTGGTAACAATATCAAACGCTCTTTCGTAACCCGTAAGTGGCAGAAAGTCTTCTGTAAAGAGACACAGTTACAAAGGCTATGAGATTGAAGGTTCTCAACTGATATTATCCCCTGGGTTTCGCTGTGAGTTTCATCTCTTAGTACCTCTAAGAGTGCGCCTGTGAGTTTATCTCTCAATGTTTATGAGTGTCCGTATGAGTTTCTACATGTGGCCTGTGTGCTTCCACTGCTTCCCTACAAGTACCTTCATTAGTGCCTCTCAAGTGCGCTTCTATGGGAGTCTCCACGATGTGGCCTATGAGTGAGTCAGAGTGCCTATATAAGATGACCCATAGATGGCCGACATCGCCTCCACACTTCCACAGTCTGGCACTCAATACAGCCGCGACAGTGTACCAGTGACCGGCGCCAAACGGGTGTACGGAGTGCCTCTGGAACAGCTGGTCATCGCCGGACACTCGGGAGTGCCCCGAGTGGTCGCCCGACTCTGCCACTTCATAGAGAGACATGGTGAGTGCACTTATATTGGAGGAGTGCCAGGAGTGGCATTATGCGGTGGAATGGGTCTCGTACACTGCTCTATATATCATAGTTAAACATTACGGTGACGGTGACCTGCGATTTAAAAAAAAATGGTATTGTAGCGCATCATATAAAAGATGAAAACTTACCTCGTTATGAAATGAATGCGCATGATAAATGTGTTACACACTTATCGTGCAACCATTTCTCTGCATGAGGTAAATAAACAATTAATACATATTTTACTTATTGGGCACCGAATAAATAGACAAATAAATAAATATTATTTATTTTACGCCGAGCCCGATCACATAAAAGCGCAGGTCGCGTTGTTCTAGCCAGTAACGACCGCCGTTACGAGTCCCTGAGTCCCGCACGCTACAGGTCAAACCCACGCGGGCTCGTGAATGCTTCCTTACTACCTCAAACCTGCCCCTCGAGAGGCCCATTCGGGACCTGCTTCGACCGCAATCCGACTTCGTTGTGTGTTGGTCTTGCAGGAATGCAGACGGATGGGCTATTCAGGACGCCGGGAAATCAGCGTTCGATTGCCAAAATCCGAGCGGATTTTGACATGTATGGAGACAGCAACCTGGAAAGATATAAGGTAAGGGAAGATCACAGGTGGGGAGATACACCGAATGATGGGATGTAGTGCGTGTTAAAAAAGATGCTTCATGCTTATGTTTTATTGATGCCTAGATAAATGGCATTTCCGCCTGTTATAAGTAGCGTTGAGCACGAAGCGCTTACGCTGATTTATTTTTTGGTGTGGCACTGGATCTATGCATTTTCGTCAGACTTCTCGCTTCGTGAGCGAGATGGCGCCCAAGCGCCAGCACTTACTGCTTGTGTTATGCAGATGAAGTGGTTAAGCTTGGAAGCACTTTGGGACGTCCTCTGTGACTTTGGTTCTCTGACGTCATAAAGATCCGTGTGGATTTTAGACGAGGATGGCGCTGTTTCTGAAATACCCGAGGGCTGCTAAAGTGTTCGGTGCAGTCCGGTATTGTTGGGGGTTGTTTCAGTTTGCGAGTACGTTCTTCGAACTGCCTATTTGGGATTCAGTTGATCACTCGTTCGCATTCGTGTCTTCATTTTTGTAACCAACGCGCTTTTCATTGCACGTAACAACAAATCTGTTTTTCTTTACGAAGGCTCAACGACAGCTATTTCTCTTCCTCTATTTCATTCATGACCCATCGGTAATACTATGCTGTATTCGCTATTTCATTTATATATTCACGAGAACGCTTTAATCATCACTTCAATTTTCCAACGTCGTCACATTTCAGAAAGTAGTCTGGGACTGTGGATTTATGAGGTCATTTCGTCGACTACTTTTGGCTCTCCTGTCTCCACGGCCAAATGACACACCCACGTCACTGCCTGTCGCCAAAACTGAGCCAAGAAATGTCATTTTATGTTTGGTTTCGATTTATATACGCTGATGGACCAGTAGGATGAGTGTTGCATGCTTTGTGGATTTACTTTCCAAAGATCTTTGCCTTTCTCAGACCAATGGGTGACTTGACTATGACCTGCCTTGAATGTGACTGACTCGAATATGACAGACTCGAATATGACAGATTTGGATATGACTGACTTTGATATGACTGACTTATACGACAGAATTGAATACACCTTAGTTGAGACAATACCTGACCATGACTAGCAACATCTGTCTGCGATCAGTCCACCCCATACCCTGTCTGCCCTGACATCACATGTTCTCTCTCACAGGACGTGGCGGCGGCGGCCGGATGTCTGAAGATGTTCCTCCGCGAACTGCCGGAGGCGGTCGTTCCAACTCGCTTCACTGAGGACTTCGTGGCTGCCTTACGCGGTAAGTGGCCGCTGGGTGAATAAGAAATCCGTTGGTGCATGAACCTCTGTAGGCATACCGTCTATCTATGGCTGATGGTAATTAAAAGTCTTGAGAGAGTGGAGTTGTGAAGGCTTGGAGTTTCCCATCAGTTATGGAGGGCCGGTTGAATTGTTGGAGGGACTGGAGACTGGCAAAAGCTGCTTACCGAGTACCTATGCGTGCCTTTCCAATCTAAGTGCTCTTTTTAGGCTAAGTGCTGGAAATATTGGGGGCGGGCGACCTCTTCGTCCTTTCTTCGAAATTTGAATTTACAACTGCAGTGTGGAGACTGACCTGTGGAAAAGCTCTGATCACCGCGGCTTTCGCTGACCTTATGGGTAGCCAGCTGGGGCATTCCACGTCAAACCAAACACCGAAATCCGTCATCCCCTTCGATTTTTCTGAAAATTTGTAGGCAGACTGGGCATGGTTCAAAACTGAGTTACGCATAATATTTTCGAAATTTGATAACGTATCGCTGAGATATAGGTCATCGAATATAGCGAAAAATGCCACACATCAATTTTTTAAATGGCTATAACTCTGGTTTCTTTTTTATATCAAAATGATATTAACAGGGTCTTATAGGCAATTGATAAGGCTTTGATTTTTAATTATCAAATTAAATTGAAGTGACCTTGAAATGCATTTGGCCTTGAATTAAAACAGAAAAATTTAAATAGCAAAAAACACGTCACCTTCGATTTGGGTAATTTTTACATATTATGTCTGTCACAATGTTCCTAACCATCTGTGAAAAAATTGGAGTGGGCCAATGGGCCATTCATAACTTTCGCGGCAAACGCCGTTTTCATGCATCAGCATCACGCAACCGCGCGTGACCTTGAAAGACAGAGTCAAGACATGCTTGCTTGTGTACACTTTCTGAAATGAATGATTGCTGATTAGTGATATCCCAAACTCTGCGAGAATGGAAATGCATAGTCATCGTAGTCAAGCATTCACGTTCCATAGTAAAAGTGTCTCAGGCAAACGGTATTTTGCGGTGAATTTTGAGCCGTGTGGAAATGCATCATGAAGTAAATTCAACGAAAACATTATCACGCAACGATATCTTCACGTCTTTTGATCTTCACTATACGAAAGAACATACATTTTTTAGTATGTATGGGGAATTTCTAGTTAATCCAATAATGAATATGGCAGTTAGAGGCCTGCTAAGAGTAACATGTCGCCGGCTGAGGCGGGCTCGGCCGATGCGAGAAACGCAGCAATCACAATTTTGTGTTTACACGTTCATATTTCAATTGTTTACCAACCGATTTTCAAAATTCTTTCACCATGAGATTGCCTGTACATTTCTTAGTCTTCTCACAAAATTTGACGCGAATCGAACGCAATCAGCGGTAGGGAGCGCGATGTAAAGACGGAACCGTTCCGTTCCGTCCCGGCACAGTCTACAGTCAGGCGGCGCGTAGCGGTCGGCGCCGGCTGCCGCGTCGCCGCGGCGACAGGATGTTCACTTTACACCGCTATTACTAGAACAGTTGTGAACCGATTTTCTTATTGCTTGCACGATGAGATGTCCAATTCAATTCTTGACAGGTAGCCATAATTAATTTCGCATTAATCTTATGAGATATTGGCGAAAAACAGGAGGGGTGGGCGAAATTCGTTCTTCCCCCTCCACTGCGCGTGCTAACATACGTTTGCATATGTGCAATTTTCTTCAAAACTTATGAATGGCCCACTCTAATTTTTTCACAGGTTGTTAAGAATATGGTAGGCAATAAAATATAGGAAAATGAGCCAAATCGAAGGTGACGTGTTTTTTGCTATTTCAATATTTGTGCTTAAGAACAGAGTTAAGCAAATTTCAAGGTCATTTATTTAAGTAGGTGCAATTCTAAACAAATGCTTAAGAAATTACCTAAACAGTAAGGTTTATTTCATTCAAATCAAACAAGTACAACCAAAGTTATGGTCGTTCAAAAATATAAAGATGCAACATTTTGCAAAAATTTGATGCCCTATATTTAGAAGACCTGTGGTCAGAATGTGCAAAAAAACATCAATGTAATGTCCGGGGCCACACAGAAACTCGCTCACAAATTTATAATGAAATCGCTGATGGTAAGGTGCAAAACAACCGATTTTTGTTCGATTTGACGTGGAATGCCCCAGCTGCAATGGTTCTACAACTGTGATATTTCTCTTCTCTTGAGTCTCATTGCATGGTCGGCGCAAGATTTAGACGACTTTTTTTTATTTATTTGCATTGCTTCTGAATGCAAATGTGCCAACAGTCTTACACAATTCACGAGTCTATTGTAGAAACTTCATTCCCATAGCGTAAAGAAAACTGGATCATCAGTTATTCTTACGTGGAAAAGATCTCGATACGAGGATCAAATGCGGTGCCGCGAAAACACAAATTCATAAACACAGCTACCTACCTAGTTAGAATGTCAGGGACACAGTTCCTTGCCCAGACTACACACAAGACGTTTTCAGACTGTCACAGTTTATATCTGTCCCGCTCCCCTCCAGCGTGACGTCTTTTTCCGAGAACTGTGTTTGACACAACCCAACCCCTGCGGCCGTTGTCAAGGTCACGGCGGGGGCGGAGCGCTGCCATGCTTACTTCAAATTCGATCCTTGTGTTGGCTTACCGCCAGGACGGGGAGAGGGAGGGGAGGGAGGCGCCTCTCACACTCTCCCACAACGTCAGAGGCTATTCCGAGATCGGGTTGGGGTCCGTGACCTTGACCTGACCTCTAGCCGGGAGCGGCGGCGGCGGTCGGTGCCTCGTGCGATGGCCCGGGCGAGCTGAACTTGTTGCAGCCTGAACTGCCGTCGGTTGGCTGTGTGGGGTTGGTTTGGAGGCCTGGGACGGATCGATCATGACTGGGGGTGGGGGGGGGGGGTCACGTGCCCGGGGGGGAGGGTCATGGGCCGAGCGGTAGGGAGAGTGATGGAGAGGAGAGAGGGGCTAGCAACAACGATAGAGGTGGCGAAGTGTGGCCAGGTGAGGTCTGTGTGGGAGGAAAGAGGGGGAGCTGGGGAAGCGACAGAACAAGGGAGGAATGGAGAGAGGAGAAAAGAGAGAAGAATGAAGAAGGATGCGTGTGTCTATGGAAAAAAGGAGGATGAGTTCGTGATTCATTCAAGCTCTTACTGCTAAGAATAATTACCAATTTGTTAATGATGACCCATTAGTGGATACTTAATGGTAAATTATATCGATGTGTGCTAATTAAATTATGAAAAATATATTCGGATCGTTAAGGGTTTCATCATCCGATCGCTTCCATGACTTGATCGATTAAACTACGGGCTTCTCATTATGAAAGATATTTCTAGCGCCATGATGCCTTGGGCTGATAACCTCAGAAATAAAACTACTGCCATCATTTGACTGTTGAACTTGTTCTTCGAAGGTATTGAATATTCGACTATTGTGCGGCGCTATTTCATCTAGACTTTCCAGTTTCCAAAAGTCTTATACCTATGATGTTTAGTAGCCTTATCGCTCTTTTGTTTAGTTGCTAATTCAATAGCTTTTCCAGTGTCAAAGAGCATGCGGATTTCCTGAGAACCATCACATTTTTTGGCATTCAATTACTTCATCCTCATGATATTATTCGCCTTCAATTCATGTGCATAAAATGCTTTCAGCTCCATCATGCGCATTGGGCGAATGTTCTCCCATCCCCTCCCTCTTAAACTACCTCTTCACTACTGCAAACTCAGACCGGTCTGAGTTTGCAGTCGGAAAACGGTGTTTTCCGGTCGGAAAACACCGTTTGAGTTGCCACACTTTACTGCCCCGAACTGCGATCTGCCGATCTGCGATCTGCTGCGATCTGTGTCACGACCCAGCGGCTGTGAGGTGCCCCGCCTCCAGCCGCCGCCACCGCGATAACATGCCTGGCCACGGCAGCGGCGGCGGCGGCGGGATCGATCCTCCTGACTGTGCCTCCCACCCCCACCCCCAGCCCCGCCCCACCCGACGACCGGCGCCGCCCCCTCCCCACGGCACGGCGCCGACGACTGGCTGCCCCGCCCCCTTACCCAGTCGGCCGCCCCGCCCCCCTTACGGCCAGGAGCGAACCTCTGTATGGGCCGGGTAGGGGGGAGGGGTAGCTGATCAAGGCATGGGTTGGGTGGATTCCACAGCTTTGCAAGCTATCTCAATTGAGGTCCAACGGCTCACGTCAGGGGCTGGGTGGATTCCACACTCCACAGCTCTTTCGAAGCAACCACAATTCAGGCTTGGGAGGGTCGAGCAGCTCAAGGCACGAGGTAGGCAGATTCCACAGCTTGCAAGGGGAAGAGGGTGGTCAGGACTCCGGAGTAAGAGCCGAGGTGTTCATTAGGTCGTCTTTTGCGCATACAGGCTTGGGGAAGCTACTGGGGGTTTGCGAGATGTGCATGATAAAAATGAGGTTGGGTCTGGTAATTTAGTTTTCATCAAATGTGGTTTATTTATGAATTTTGCGTGAAACAGTTCGGGGAGGGGGGGATGAAGGCATCGGCTCTATGTCTTATTTCTTGGGGCTTAGAGTTGTTGCGAGTTAGTTGAACGAGCTTGTGTAAAGTGTATTTTAGATGGAAAGACAGTCGCTTCTATACCGTGCAAAGTCGAAGTTCACCCGTTAACTTTTTCCCAATAATGGTTTGTACACAGAGGCTACACACGGTACTTTTAAAGCACGTTTGCTATACATTTTCCGTGATCATTTGTTCAGCCGGAAATTTGAATGCATCATTTCCTTCATTTATTTCTTTCTTCCTTCCATCCAACGTTTTCCTATTAGTCGTAATGTTCATGTGCGCTTCCTCCGCTTTTCAGAGAATATCCGTCTTTAGGTCATGTCCAGTGGTAGGTGGTTGTCGAATTCATCTACATGTCATTTATAAATGGCGTATATCTCAAAGGAAATCCATGTGCCATTACCGACCAGTGAAGCAATGTGAGCGTAGGACGTGATAACTGATAAGCTCTATGTCCGGTTGCATCACCGTCCACAGGAGATGAATTGCGCGGTTTCTATTTTGGTATAAGAAACATTCCAACAACAATTGAATGCACAAACTGCATGAAGTGCCTCATTTCGAGCGAGCACAGTAGCGCAGGGGAGATGCATTGAATGTTGTGATCCTAAAAAAGCATGCTCCGGTGTAAAACTGCTGGCGGAATTCAGATAATTTTCCGGAGACGAGAGATTTTGATGCTGTACGATACTTAAACGTTTTTACTAGGGAACGAGCGTGCTCTTGGTAGCCGGCTTCAGTCTGCTAGTAACTACTGTCCGACTCCATGCTCAGTATTTGCCGTCTCCTGTGCTTTCGCTGTTTGCCTGTGCTTTTGTTATCTGCTGTCGCCATTGCTGTGCTGCCTACTGCCACTGCCTGCCTTGAGTGCCTGCCACTGCCTACTTGCCACTGCTGCCACTTCTGTCTACTCCCTTCCGCTATCCCTGCTGCGTTCTGTTCTGGTCCGTATATGTTTTTTTTTTCTGGCCAATCAGGGCTCTGCCATTCGCGGATCGTTATCCACGCTTAGCCTCTGATGTCTGTCTGCACGCTAGGCGGGCATTACTGACCAGACCGGAGATGTTAGCTGATAGGGAACGGTCACGACCTCCCGAAGTGTGAGTGCGTGACCCGTGCTCTAGCAGACGTCAAGGCTAAAAGCACTATTTTTGGGAAGTTTTGGCCAATGTCATGTTGATGGCGTTTTTTTTTTATTTATGGAACTTGTTCGGCTGATCCCATTCTGTATTTTTTTGCCATTTTTCGATTAATCACTTCTTCCCATTTATTAATAAAAATGTGGAATTTTCGCTCGTTTTTGTGGATTGAATTAACACGAATTTGAGAGATTTTTCTTATAGAATTTCGATAAAATTTCCTTCCAATTATTACAGCGGTATAGCGACCCTTGGGCCTTACCTTGGCTACCTCACTTAGCTACCTAGAACGCAGTCGTGGGCTGAACACTCTAAAGAGCAAAACAATGCCAAACAATTTGAAGGCCGTTATCTGACCCAGTGACCCATCAACCAGACCGTGCCGTGACACTGAACCCCGCCACCTGACGTCACAGTGACGTCACGCAAACCCGCGTCACGGCGCTCTCTCGACTGGGACAGCCGGCAGTCAGCGGTCAGCTATAGGTCAGCGGTCAGCCCGGTCAGCTGATATTCCGCTGACACGGGCCGCCCGGTGCCAGCATATCTGACAGCGCCGCCGGTGTTTTTACCATCGCCCCACGCCAGCGGACGGCCAAAGGTCGAACGCTAGCGTGAATATTTTCGTATTTGTGGAAACGAAATAAATAACCAACAAAACCAAGGAAATAGTAAAAGAAACCACCAATGAAGCAGTTTGAATTCGTATGTTATTTTGCTGATGGGAAGGATCTTTTAGTTATCTACATGAGCTAACTCAAGGCCCTAAAAGCTAACTTACAATCAACGCAAACTATCCCTGCTTACATCAACTGATACTGTTGACTTTTTGAGGTTGCGTAACACAAGTTTTGTATTGTGTGAGACGTAGTCATAAATTACCGATACCCATGAGGCCATGAGACATTCTTTCTGCAAGCCCTGTTGAGCTATCAAACATCTGCATGTTATGTAAGCTTCTGAAATTTTCAGGTTTCGTGCGGCGCTGTCCTAGAAGGAATGTCACTGGCTTTACCAAGAGACTTTGTAGTGCCTTTAATATTGCACGAATTCCTGTTTGTAGCAACGGCTTCGGAAGTGAACACTGAACTACCAATAAAAATTAACCTAGCTGCTAGGATATTTACTCAAACTCGAGGAAATATACACACGCATTGCTGAGTTATCTATGACTTCCAGATACACACACTGAAGTCATTAGCTGGTATATCCTTTGCATTCCCCGTTAATCTTTCCCAATATCCCTCAATATTTCAAAACAGGCCTCCTTTACATGTTTCCCCGGTATAACGGCGAATCGTCACAATCGCCCTGCCTCCTTTTGTCGAAGCTGGACGGAATTAATGCCGCGCGTCTCCTTCCATTTCCTACCCACACCTATCCTGAACCGGACTCCACCTGTCGCGTCCTCTCCTAATTCTTCATAATCTACTCTCGACCTCCCCAATCCGACAGGGTGGGACCGATTTGAATCGTAGGGTGGCCAAACTGGTTTCAGAAGCGACCGAACACGTGCCAAAACACGTGACGTGGCCTGGTGGGAGCGGCTTAGTGGGATCAATCATAACGGATTCCATGTTTTTAGTTTCTTTTTTATGTGTGTTTCATCAGCGTAGGGGACCTGCCAGCGTGGGTTTTATTTGATATTTAGTGATGGAATGATGGATGCTGTTCTTGTTCTTCAGCTTATTTCTTTTGCTTAGTTCTAACAGAGTGCGCTTTGGGCTTCTTAGCAAATGTTTACCGGATATGATAGAAATGCCCCCTTCGCTTCCAGGCGTTATTTTTTCCACACCATCCCCCTCCCCATCTACCTTGATTATTGCGCCACTTATTGACTAATGGTCAGCGACACTCATGAAGGTCAGTATCGCCTCTCCCACCCGGCTGCGCTGGTCCGATGGACGGAACCGTGAATAGCTGGAACTGGACACCGGTGACTCGGCAGTCGCACAGCGCTGGAACTGACCTGTCAGCACCACTGTGCACATTTTGGGAGTGACTCGTTCAGTATGGTGACCAGACCAGACCATGCCCATCGCCACGCAGCCACTAGTGTTTAGTTTGGTGGGATGGTGAAACATCAGACTTCCCTGCCGTTTTGGATCCGGCCCGAGTTGAAATTCGGTAAGAATGTGGTCGGTTTGAATGCCCTTACGACGCGCTTGTGGACTGAGTTGTGATAGCGATTCCTTTTGAGATGAATGGAATTTTGCTACTCTCGGCCGCATGACCGATAGCTCTGCTACCTTGAGTTCCACCGCCACTAACGACTTTGCTACCCCCGGTTTCACCGCCAAACGGCTTTGCTTTCTTTAACCGCACATTCCCATATCTAAGGCTCCACAGTCCACAATCTACGGCCGTTGGCTCTGCTTGGCTCTTCAGCTGATGATTCTGCTGAACCCAGTTTACCCATAAAAGCCTACTAATGAGAGATGTTATCCGATACATCCGGTCAGTCTTCACAAATCACTCTAGCTGTATCGACCTGCTCCCGACTTTTCCTTTCTTTTCGTCTTAAGTTATTCGTCTTTCCGTCCTTGTGATCGGCCTGCCCTGCCTCTATCCGTTGCAATTCATTTTTGTTTATCTGTCATTACAACGTTGACCGATTCGTCCCACGGAAATTTGTCCGAACCGATGAACTGTCTTCCCGTCGGTCACGGTTGTCAATGGTTGATCAACAGCCAGCAGTGTTCAGGCTCACTCCCATTTACGTGTGGTTGCATCACATAACATTCCCAAGCCCCAAACAATAACACTTATGACGAAGTTCTGTGTCGAGTTGGAGTTGCAGGATGACCTTTGACATTCGACAGTTGCACGTAGGACAAAGAGGCTCCTCACGTGACCTTGACTCTCGGATCGATGACCTTACAACGTCACATTTGTAATGTCGACCAAAGTTGGTGTTCGTATTGAAACTGACAGGGAAGGCGATCGTATATGAGGTAGGAAGATCGGTGTTTTTGAATGGCGTCTGCGTATCCGCGCTCCCCCCCCCCCCCCGCCTCTATAGGTTTTCCGCAAAAAGTGGTATACCGACCGGTAAACTCATGAGAACGAGTGGGGAGGGCGGGAGTGCGCGGGTTTTTTTAGTGAGGGAGCATCGCATATATACCTGGCTAAAACTTGCCATGCGGAAGTTATTACTTGGAAAAGGTTGAATGTATGAGGGTTGTTATAAGGCCGTGCAAAAATGCAGCATAGTGGACAGGTATTAGTATGAAAAGCTTTCAATTGATTTGGTCTCTATTAGCCGTTTTCACGACGGCTATCTGGTACACATTTGCTTCACATCTGGTGCAGAATGCAGATTAGGTGCAAATTTGGTCAAATTAGGTTCAGTGTGTCTCTTAGTAGCTATCAGCTAGGGTTGTACTTATTGCTTATAAGCCTGATTTGTCATAAGAGAGCATCATCGGTTAAAGCACTGAAATAAATTCATAAAATATAGATATTTACTGTAAAAGAGATTAGGTGCAGATTTGGTCAAATTAGGTGCACTCACCGGATAGCCCGTCGTGAAAACGGTTATTATTTTCTGTCCTAACGACTGTGGTTGACAGTGGCACCATACTGGCTCATTACTTTTTTCACTGGTGTTATCTCGTTACCCATCGCGTCGCCGTATCCCATTCCTCATTATCTTTCCGTAGGTAGCGTCTGTTACCGTCACATTCTGCCTATAATGATCATTTGATCCGTAAAGGTGGACAGAATCTATTGTCGTCATACAACTGGCAGAGGTGTCGGATTTATGCTAGGTAGATACGCCGTCTTTGGTCTGGCGTGTAGGCTTACCGTTCTGTAACGAGAGTGTATTGTAGCTATGGTATTTTGTTTCAATCATAGCGTTTCGTATTAATCGAAGTGTAATAGATGTGAGTGGTTGAAATGGCGTGTGTCGTTTGGTAATGCGTTGATTTTTAACTTGGGGATTGGTATGAGGGGAAATGTTCAATATTTGGCATCGGGCATGTTGGTAAAATTCGATAATTGTCTTGATTGTCTGTTACCTGTGTCTCATTCTCCCACCTTTCACTCACTCACTCACTCACTCACTCACCCACCCCTCACTCACTGTCCCCGTTTCTCTCCGATTACAGAGGAGGGGAGCCCGCCCCGGCGCTGTGAGCTGCTCTCTGCGCTGGTGCACTCTCTCCCGCCGGCTCACTACGCTCTGCTCCGGTTCCTCTGCTCTTTCCTGCGCCGGGTCACCAACTTCCACAGGTGGGTGAGGCAGGGAGGTGAGAGGATATGTCAGAGGTCAGGGTCAGAGGTGTTCCGTAGGCTTATCACCGGAAAGTCAAAGGTCAGGGTCAGAGGTTTTGGTTGTTGCTGGGGGGGAGTAGGTATCTCTTACCTGTAGAAGATCGTGAGATCAATCCCAGCGACCAGATGACATAGTAAGGTCAAAGGTGCTCCTTGCGTGTTTTTTTTTTTTTCGTTGTAAGACAAGTAAAATAGTACGAAGAATGAGTTAGAACTGAAGACCCTAATGTAAAAACTTTCAAGCAACATCTTTACGATGCCGGTTTTTTTACGTTCCAGCTACCAGATTTATCCGGTTACGAGTAGCAGGTGCCATTCTATGATTCAACATCCGAGCATTGCAGGTGCCTGTATGTTGCACCTGTGCCCCGCTGCTGTCAATGTGACTCATCTTATCACCGGATCAATATTGGCCGGGAACGTGCGATGGGCAGGGTTAGCTATACGAGCGCTGGGCTCCACCCGGGAGGCTAGCGTTGTCCGGTGCTGACACCTATCGACAGCGCTAGAATCTCAGCTGCGTGATGGCATGTATGTAGGTGTCGCTAGGCAGCGGTAGCGTAGGGCAGGGCGTTCAGAAAACGAAGTGGTATTGCAACATTGCAACAACATTTTGCAACCAACTTTGTGATGGTGGGCGGTGGTTGGTAGTATTGCTTCGTACTCTTGGTGGCTGCTCTAAACTTTGTGACTGATTTGGTGCTCATATAGCGTGTTGTAGCGTGTTTATGATCGCCCGTATTAGGTACTTTGCATCTTATCGTTAGCGAGTTGCCAGTTCTCCCTTCCTATCGGGCCATTGGCAAGGTAGAATTAAAAGGGGCATTTATCATATATAGCAATTGGAAACCAATGTTTCGTTGGTCGGAATAATCGGATACCAATTTGTCGTGTACCTTATCAAGCTTAGAATGCTTGATGCTTTATTGTTATAGGTATGTCCTCCCGTGATTTTTCTGAGTTTCTGCCCTTTCTCATCCCCCTCTCCCTCCCCTGTATCGTTGCAGCGCTGTCCATATGTCAGCCGACACACTGGGCATCATATTCGCCCCCAATGTGTTTCGTCTCTCCGCAAGGGAAGGGGGCGCCCCCTGTCTGGAGCAACAGGCCGCCATCAACCGAATACTGGCCCAGCTCATACACAACTACGACAGAGTAAGTACGACTCGATAGAGTAAGCACGAGAGCAACAGGCTGCCACGAATTGTATACTGGCCCAGCTCATACACAACTACGACAGAATAAGTACGGCGGGATAGTTAGTATTTCTTGCCTAGAGCAGCAGGCTGCTACTTATATGTATACTTGGCCCATCTCATACACAACTACGATAGGGTAAGTACTACTCGACAGAATAAGTACGGCTGGATGGTTAGTATTTCTTGCCTAGAGCAGCAGGCTGCTGCTGATATACTTGGCCCACCTCATACACAACTACGACAGAGTAAGTACGATTTGACAGAGTAAGTACGATTTGACAGAGTAAGTACGGTTTGACAGAGCAAGTACGGTCAAAGGATCAATATTTTCTAAGCGCACCCTTGCATAGAGCACAAGGCTTTCGCCAACCAAATACTGGCCCAGCTCATGCATAACTACAACAGAGTAAGTACTAAGTACGGCTGAATGGTTAGTATTTCTTGCCTAGAGCAACACGCTGCTACTAATGTACTTGGCCCACCTCATATACAACTAGGACAGAACGACTAGGAAGTACGACTTTTTTAAATGTTCAAGTAAATGTTCAAAGAACATGCAAAGAACATGTAAATGTTCAAAGAACATTGTTCAAAGAACATTTACTAACCTCTGCTCAGAGCAGTCGTGCAATTGGCATTACGGCAGCTGGCATCGTTAAAGAGAAAAAACTTCTGCAAGAACGACGTTGCAGCTTGACATAGGTCTATGGTGTGGATAGCAATGTTAACGCTGCGCATTGATGCCATTTGCAACTATACATATAAAGTCGAACACACAGACAATCCTACACAAAGACACAGGTAGAAAGACACAAAAACAGACAGACATACAAACTACAGACACAGAGACACACAGGCATTAACACGGCGCTGCAGCGGAACTATCACGGGATCTTTACAGAGCGGCTTTCATTCCGTCAATGTCACCGAGAAATTCTACCCGTGAAAGGACTGCCTGCGTCAGCCGGCCCGTTGTAATCTGAACTGAAGCTTTTTACCTTGGGGCGTCTTTTTCCCATACCAAACACATTGAGTGAGCTTGGCCATGAGTCTGAGCCATGTTGAACGTTACTTTCGAATGGGTATTTAACATGAATTCCTGCGACCTTGCCCAAAATTCCCTAACCGTTACACAATCCGCTTGTCGTGCTTACCTTATTTCTTGTCCTTTTTATGACAAGGACATGCATCTTGATATGTTTTTAATGTGTAATGGTCGTAGTGGTTTGGTTACTTTCACATGTTAGGGACTGTACGAGTATATTTGACCGATTTTATGTATGTTGCGCTAAAATATGACACATGCCCTCACAAGATATGTTGTTGAAGGTTTGGAGTGGAACGAGCAATTAGAATTGAGAAACTTCGCGCACTTTTTAGTTTGCGAAGTGTTTTATTTCTAATTCATAATACAAGCATTCTATACCAGTAAAACGCCTTTTGGGCGAAGAACGAGCGAGCGAGATAGTGAGCCCTGCACGTGCGGAAGGGCGAGAGGGTGCTTCCAACGGGCTTGTGCAAAGCACCCTTCTAACTGGTCGCTAGCGGTGTGCCAAATTTGAACGCAATCGGCCCAGCCGTTCCTGAGATCTGGAAGCGGCATTCTGCACGTGCGCACGTGCAAACGGGGTCCAAAATGACTTTCGCACGGCACCCTACTAACTGGTCCCCAACCGTGTACCAAATTTGAGCGCAATCGGCCCAGCCGTTCTCGAGATCTGGAAACGCCCCCTGCACGTGCGCACGTGCAGTAGCACCCTAACCGCAGCACATGGAAATGCATTGCCTGGTGGGTGCCTACCTGTATGCCAAGTTTCAGCAAAATCGCCCCAGTAATTACCGAGTTACTGAAATGGGAACAAATTTGGCACCTCTTATTGTTGTATTTTGCACGTGCACTGGGGGTGACCCACATGCATCGAGAGTATCCTACTTTGGGTAGAAGGGATGCTGCTACCCTACAAAAATTACCGCAAGTCAATCGCCCAAGCGGCTGCTGAGATATGAGCCTCTCAAAATCACTACTTTTGCAAAACAGCTGGAACACCCTTGACTTTTCACGTGGCACGTGCCACGACTGTCACTGAGATGTATCAAAAGTAGTCAATTACGGGGTAGAAGGGATGGGGCTACGCAACAAAAAAGACCGCAGGCCAATCGGTCCAGCGGTTGCTGAGATATCAGCCTCTCAAAAGCGTTACAGGCCGGGCCGGGCCGGGCCGGGCCGCTCATACTGAGATTTTTCCGTTAGGTATATTGAAAAGACTCACTTCGCTCGCTGCGCTCGCTCGCTCGTAACAATATTCTAATAATTCTAATTCGTAATATACCGTATGTCAGCCACAGTCTGTCTCGTTTACCTATAGTTCCAACCTTATTACCAGTAAAACGCCTTTTGGGCGAAGAACGAGCGAGCGAGATAGTGAGCCCTGCACGTGCAGAAGGGCGAGAGGGTACTTCCAACGGGCTTGTGCAAAGCACTCTTCTAACCGGTCGCTAGCGGTGTACCAAATTTGAACGCAATCGGCCCATCCGTTCCTGAGATCTGGAAGCGGCATTCTGCACGTGCGCACGTGCAAACTGGGTCCAAAATGACTTTTGCACGGCACCCTACTAACCGGTCCCCAACCGTGTACCAAATTTGAGCGCAATCGGCCCAGCCGTTCTGGAGATCTGGAAACGCCCCCTGCACGTGCGCACGTGCAGTAGCACCCTAACCGCAACACATGGGAATGCATTGCCTGGTGGGTGCCTACCTGTATGCCAAGTTTCAGCGAAATCGCCCCAGTAATTACCGAGTTACTGAAATGGGAACAAATTTGGCACCTCTTATTGTTGTATTTTGCACGTGCAGTGGGGGTCACTCACATAGATGAAGAGTATCCGACATATGGTAGAAGGGATGCAGCTACCCTACAAAAATTACCGCAAGACAATTGCTCAAGCCGCTGCTGAGATATGGGCCTCTCAAAATCATTACTTTTGCAAAACTGCTTGAACACCCTTGACTTTTCACGTGGCACGTGCCACGACGGTCACTGAGATGTATCAAAAGTAGTCAATTACGGGGTAGAAGGGATGGGGCTACCCAGCAAAAAAGACCGCAGGCCATTCGGTCCAGCGGTTGCTGAGATATAAGCCTCTCAAAAGCGTTACAGGCCGGGCCGGGCCGGGCCGGGCCGGGCCGGGCCGCTCATACTGAGATTTTTCCGTTATATTGAAAAGACTTCGCTTCGCTCGCTGCGCTCGCTCGCTCGTAATTACCGTTGTGTTTTGTTTCAGATCTTTAACGACCTCGGACAGCGTCATAGGCCGGGCTCCAGCGAACCCCCCAGGTAAGTCCCCCCCCCCCTCCTGATTCGGGTGGCGACCCTTCCCCCAGGTAAGGTGGCGCCCCTTAGAAAACCACCCGTTTCAGCCCTCCTTCCCCGGTTCAATCACCCAAATGAGGCACTGATCGGTACATGTTATAGTCGTGGAATGTGTGGAATGTGGAATAAATTGCACACTTTAGATGCATAAGACTCACGTCATTAGGAAAATATAACAGAACCCGAGATATAAAGGGCACTGATGTATGATAAAACATAATTAAGAATGAATAACAGTGTTGATAATTTGAGTTCTCTTAGCTTCATGTCCGTGCCATTTCCCTCTACCGTTCAAGGCGTGGCTAGCGGGACGCACAATGGTCCCACTGCTTGACCAATGTCCACACATTCTTCACACTCTATTTGTCCTGATAAGTGACAGTTAGGACTTACGTCTGGACAAGTGTCTAATGACGTCAGTACTGAGTTTACTTACCCATCGACCAGCACTTATCTCCACTTGTGTCGGTTTCTTATGCTAGAGTCGGCCAGGCCTCTTGCACTTGGTGTGGCTACTCCCGTCAGCATGGGTGGAGAACCTGCCCCGGCCACCCCGGCCGTGGCCGGGGTAACTTTCAGCCTACCCCGGCGCGGCCGGGGTAACTTTTCTACTCTTGTAAATCCTAAAAGCTGTCTCCATACGAGAAAAGAAAACTCACGCTCTTCGAATGTTGACTTCCATGGGCGTAATATTGCAAATCAGGTAGGTATTTACCATTTACTTAACTTGCCATAATCTCCAACCCTAAGACCCGCGTGTGGTCGCCAATGCCAAGATTGCTCTCAAATCCTGTTCAGTTTCGAAATTTTGGCGCGCCTTCGGCGCACTTTTTCAAAACTACTGCTTGACCTCATTGCCTTCAACTGACCTGCCACCAACCGCAACCACACCCGTTTATGAGCGTACCCGTCAGGGTGCTCATAAACACCGAGCGGCCATCATGCCTCGAACTCGGACTGTTGTAACCGGGCCGCGTGCTCTCGCCACGCGGAATCCAACGCTCTAGCAACTGAGCTACGAGACCGGGACCGGTCGATATTCCTGGATCGACTCCCTGTTTGTATTATAAGAGCCGCCCAACATTGAAAAAGGCTACGCCCGTGGATGTCAGTGACCTATTTTAGTGCTTTGCTTGGTTCGATCTGTCAATTTCTCTGTAAAGCTTCTACTATGGTGAGTTGTCTTTTTGTAGCTATTTTGAGACAATAAAAAGCTGAAAACGCAACATTTAGGTACTCAAAATGGCATATGGTTTGGTTTGGGTTCGGTGTGAAATTGGAAGTTTAAGTAAAAAGAAATAATAATTTAAAAGGAAATTGCCTTTTCGATCATTCCAAAAATGTTATGAATAATACGGTGTCGGATACAACGCTCATCCTTGAGCAAACACAGCATTCTATTCCATTCGTCAGAATAGGGGTTTGATGATGACCGTTGAGAACAACGTGAGTGTATCGTCTTCCCGCGACTATCGGTCGCCGGCCGGGGTAACTTTTTCAAACATTCTCCACCCATGCCCGTCAGTGTCGTACCTACTGCTTATCAAGAGGGGCCCCTCTTGTCCTCTTGACCGCTGGAGAGGCGTCTCTCGGCACTCGCTGCCCCCCCCCCTCCCTATTCAGTTGTCCTTTCTACACGATTAAAGGGACCCTCCCACCTTCAAAAAAGTTAATGAATTGGCACGAAAGTGATGTCGCTCGGTTCAGAAAGAGCGAAAACGAATATCTACCAAATTTCATCGAAAAATATTCACCGGTTTTCAAGATATTAGACTTTTACTTTTGTTTACTTTTTGGGATCTCCGCTGTTCCTATACGACTTTATTTGAAAGTGCGGCATTTGTTGCGCGCAAAGCAGCATATACCACCGCGTGCTACCAAACGTTTTAGTAAAAGATTTAAAAATCGTTAGATCTCCGCTGACGTCACAAATTCTAAGGGGGCATACCAATGCACTAGCCCCTTAGAATCCGAAAACTGCAAGTTTGAAATTCCATATCTCCGAATTAAAGCATTTGTCGATGTTGTGAGTGCCCAAACCGGTATTTGCAGGCCATGGCCACCAATTTGGCTATCTCAACTCAAAACTAATGTTAAGGTGGGAGTGTCCCTTTAAAGTGTGCGGGTGCTGTATGAATATTTTGCTTTAAAACTCATTTTCAAGTCATGTTGATCATTTTATGTATACAAAGTCCGGCGTTGATTTATTCTTATAAGAGACTTGGGTGTTGTCTGGTTTGAAAAAAGTACATGCAAGCCATGGAATGGTGTCGTTGGATATGACTTATTTAACTGGCTAAACACCTTTGACGACCCACCCATAGCTTTCTCGCACCGCGTCCTTGGCGTGCATCTTTCCCCCATTGCCAATGCCGGAATGCCAATCGCCATACTAAATCGTCGCCGGGCTGGGCCCCACACACGGGCTTCTGACGTCCGGGAAACTCGGGCATCGGACGCGGTGACACCGAAATGGCATGTGACGACGGAACTAATATCGACTGCGACGCGACGGGCTTGGTGCGGATTTTTAGTCGGTGATGGGTGATTGGGGAAATGGGTGGGGCCAGATGAAGGTTAGGGGGCGATTAGGGCTTTTTTGTGGCGCTTGTATTGATAATTGTGTATTGTCAATGAGTATTGCACGCGATGAACTTGTGGTTTGCATAATAGGTTGTTTGATTGTGCTGTTAGCGTTTGCATCGAAAATCTAGAAGTCCTCCTCCTCTCCACCTTTTAAAAGCTTTCAAACTCCGAAATTAAAAACGATGCTTGTTATGCCCTTCCATTTTTGCAATCATTCTTGCTCAATGCTCATGTTCAACGTATACTTACTCTCGACTTCTCTGCACAAACTGAGCGGCAATTAATAGCCGTAGAGCTGTCCTCTGAACGCTTATATCTTCATTTATTTCCATCTATTTTCCAGCAGCGGCCGAGAGCGGGGTGACGAGAGCGACGCCAGCGCCCCTAGCGGAGACATCCAAAAGTGAGTACCGAACCGCCTCGAGGCGTGCTGTGCGTTGTCCATGTGCGTGTTTTGGGAGTGGAGATTGGATTTTACACACCGGATTCCTAACTAGCAGTGTTAGAATGGAACACCTGCAAAAAGTGGCAAGGAAAACGACAAACATTTTTCATGTTTTAGTTTATCTTGAGGCTTCGGCAGTCGGCAACATTTGTTCGTCTTTTATGTAATTCAGTTATTATGGCTAAATGCACCTTATTAGAGGCCATTGCACTCTCAAATGCATTGATGTACAACAAAAATCGCAGTAACTGGGGCAATTTACCGGAAAATTAACGCACAAAGTAAGTTGACGCCTGTAGTCAGCTGTAAAATGAATGAACAAACGATGACTTATAAGGTCAAATAAAATACTCCAAATCCACACGACTAATTTGTAACACTTGTAACAACGTGAGCGCCTGCCTCCCGTTCATATTTCCTGCTGCTGCCCTTGACAACGATGGTGTAACACCCATGAAAGACAGCTCGCCAAAGGCGCCTCACACGGATGCTTGAACATTTTTGGATTGACACCGACTGCTATCTGCGTTGTTTCGACGAGTTTTGTCGTCGGGAGACCTGGCAACACCGCCTCACGTGACAGATTTTGTCGTCATCGTTCGCCGGTTTGGAAGCTGCTTTTTACCAGTTTGTGTCACGAGCGATGGTTCGTTTCTTTTATGGCAGTGGGTTGGGCCTTTAGAAGGATCTGATGCGACGTTGATTTTCGGACTTGTCCAGCGCCTGATTGTCTGTTACTGGGCTTAAATAGTTTGATCAATTATTTTCTTAATGTGAGTGGAATCATTGATGTAAAACACTATTTTCTTAGATATTTTGTTGTTGTCATTAGTTGATATTTTTGTCATTAGCCATGCTCCTTTTGCGTAGCGTTCTTGTCATGCAAAAATGGTCTAAATGACAAACCCGAAACGTTGTTTTTTATTTTGCATTAAGTTTTCCTTCAATAGGGCTCACTTATGACATTTGGATGGCTTGGATAGGTTCTACTTGGGGTATATTAGAAGCGACAGTCACCATTCAGTCGGTTATACCCTTCCATACGTTCGACCCTGTCCTATACACGCATGAGTATAGCATTGCAATGTTTAATATCGGTCAAGGTACTCCCGTGTCTGATTTTAAGTCACCCCGCATATAATGTGCAATGTGCATCTATCTCTCTTCTAGTCACGCAACTCACACAGATGTGTCATGGCCGCTGCGAATTATAAACTGCGTCACACAGCTTTTGCACATAAACCCAGACTCCACACACTAACAATATCCGCTGTACGCCACGGCTAATCCATTTCCTGTCTGGCTGGTCCCATAAACATTGTGCGTTGAACTGGTAAAATCCGGTTAGGACTAGAACAGCTGACCATTAGCTGGCAAACAGCTGACCAGTGGCTAAGTGTAATCCCTGGGGTCACGGCCGAGCATTGGTGCAGCTTTTCCCATGGTTTGCTGTATGGTTGCAGCAGTTTTTAAAAGGCTCAGTCTGTCTGGCGCCTAGGTGTTTTGGTTTCTATGGTAACGCGGCATGGAGGGATGGTCATTGGTCAAACTATACGAATACAAATATGTTTTGTGCACCTCACGATAATGCTTTGTGTTGAGCTGAGCCGCTTTACTCCATTTTAGAGCAGTTTGGAGGTAACCGGGTTTACCGGTGCTGCTTTGAATTTTACGTCCAGTTGGTTGCTTGCTTGTGTGGTGAACAAGGCTTTGAAACAATCCAAAACAATGGCTGCCTGGCTAAATGCACGTGGAAAATGTATTTGGTCATAATTTTTTTATCTCGATGACTTATCAATATACAATGTTTTAGGACAAACAGTAATCAGCGTGCAATGTATACTGTTTAGTGCGTATATGTACTTAGCATTAGGGAGATTCTGAATCATACACGATAATTATGACTTTGTAGTTTATTATCTTTCCGGATCTGTACGTATCGATACGATTGCATTATCTTAGCGTACTACTTACTGGATAGATACGGCAATCTGGAGAGTCTCAGTTTGATGTGGGGTGATGTTTTGAACCTGTGACAGCCTCAGTATTTTATTTTCGCTGCGTAGGTAAGGGAATCGGCTCTTTGCAGTGCGCCCCTGCAATACAATTAATCCTGTTACATGATTGCTCCTACTTCAGACTGAAACCTGAGTAGCTACTCGAGTGAGTGCGACAGCAAGAGCACTGTTATCCACTTTACTCAGCCACTCCATCCCTCCTTCTCAGCAACTCGACACACTCATTTATGGCACTGGGCTGCGTCGGGGCATCGACAGCGAGGCCGCCACCGCACTACAGCGCTTCCTCATCCAAACTCATCGCCTCTAACCTAATACATCCAAAGTCCAATCCGTACCTAGTCCAGTCATGACGGCGTGTTTGACGCGCAATATAACGCACGTACTGCCGGGGTTGCGGGGTTGCGGCTCGGCATAGGGCGGTAGGAGTCTTATTTAGTTTCATTCATTGTGTTACCATTCTTTGCAAGCGGCGCCAAAGAGTTAAGTGCGTAGCACTTTTGCGCCAATTGCTTATGTAATTTATGAATTTTATGTTGTTGCAGTGTGAATAAATGCTCTCTCTCTCTCTCTCTCTCCACTGAACTGCGTTTCACGTATAACGATGTGGATTGTGTAGCGCTCGGTTCTTGTGCTTGACACAAACATCCAACAAAGGGTTGTCTGCGTCAACCGTGTATATCAACTTCATTCCATAATGATATGGTATACTCATTTTATTCACGTATTTTGAATGCGTAATGAGGCATCAGAGAAGACAAACTTTTCCGTCAAGTGCTGAACCATGCTGCACACTTGCCGCAGTGTGCAGCATGCTGCACACTGCGCTGTTCGGAGGGCGCTGATGGTTGCCTTCAAAATTTTACTCCAGCTGTTTAGTAGGTAATCTTTTCTCGGTTTTTGAATTTCTGCGTGAACGAACCAATAAGCCGTGGCCGATATTTCCTCGCTCTCAACGCGCTCTAAAACTCCAACAAACAAGCAACTCTCGCCGATATTAGCCATTTCCAGTAACTGACATGCTATCGATATAATGAATACAGTTTATGGTATGGGTAGTAAACAAATGATAAACACGTGCGTTGCAGAATCACTTCATCATTCGCTCTGCTTCCTTGTTTGTGGGCGATGACGGGTGACCTGACCTGTCACCTGTCACCTCAGCTGTCAAAAAGGCTGACAATTGACTTGCCACGACCACAAGTTGTAATTGGTGTGACATTTTCTGGCACACGTGGTGTCGAGCTGTTGGTCTGGACTGCCTCCGCCTCTTGTTGCTGCCTGCCTCTAATGCCTTTTCTAGAGACGTAGCCTTTCCGTAATGCATATGCTATGTAATGTATTGTGGTATGCTGAATGTTTGTTTGGAAAAGGGTGTTCCACTATCGTCTAAGTTCTCCAAGTTTGTTCTTCATCTATCTAATGTCTGCCGATCGAAGCGTTTGTTTCCGGCATCGATACCTCTCCCACCTGTTTTTGTATCGTCTCCGCCGGAAGTAACCACCGGAAATGCTTGTTTCCGGTGTCAATAAAACTCAGCAGACGTCCGCCAGCGCGCTGATCACGCAACGGAAATCAGCTGGAAAACTCTCTGATTGGATACAAGTTAAGAGCAGACCGGGTGGAAGTTCAAAACCTTGTAAGGTCAAGTTTAAGTGGTTCGAAGTTTGATTGCTTGGTGGCTGACGGAAATAAGTTGAACCACGGTGCTATACGTTTGAGACCGTCTTCTACTAATAACTTGGATCTTGGTTGTAAAATGAGTTTAAAGGCACAAAACCCTGTGAGATAAAAGGTAATCTGCATGTCACTTATCTGAGATCTGTTACAATATGAAATTTTTGTGCTTGACAAATATTAACGGCAAGTGAATCAGCTGATATGGCAATAGCCGATCCTCAGCCATTTTTTCACCCTTTTCATAAAGACACTGAATGAATATAGACAAAAGGTGTAGCCACTTACATACACAGCTATTCACTTTGATCCTGGATGTCGCGTTGTCTCTTGATACCTTGGGACAATTGTCTGTCGACCTCCGGCTACCCTCTCCGTCCGGCGCACGTGGCGCGATGGGGCTGGACGGCACTAGGCGGGGATTGGTCTGTCTGTGCCCATGGCAGCGCGGACCCATTCTATGCCCACATAGCCCGCCTGCAGTGAGTGACCGTTTTCTGGGCCAGCAGGGCCGACGACCTGTGGTTACTTTCACTGACTGCAGTCCGCCGCCGCGGGCTCTGGCCTTCCGTTTAGTGACGCCCCCTGGCAGCTCAGAGAGACTTGGAGGTATAGGCGTAAGGCGGGTGCCGGATATCCATAACCAATGGTGTAGGTTTTTATTCATAAAACGCAAATAGAAACCTCGTTCTGCGGTCAAGCAACGGTTTGTGATTCGGTGATCGTTTTCTGCCCAACATTCAAGGACGACTAAATAATGCTTAAGTTTTTCTCTAGAAACATGTCTTTGTATGTTTTTGTTACCGTCCTACACGTATTACCGAAGTCTAATATTTCCCACTAACTTCTAGGCATAGACCCCTTTAAACATGGACTGTGCACTGGCTTAGCCTAATCGACATTTGAGGCAAAATTTTACAAGCTTCTTAAATCACTTTAAATTGGTAGAATGGCCGCGAAAATTTATCTACAGATTCGTCTGGCCTTCATCTTTTGAATGAAAGTTCTATAATCATAAACAATTAAATATTTTTGGATAAAATTGATCTTTTGTAGACTCTGTTCTCTATCGCAACTGCAGGATTAAAATATGCAACCGAACGGAAGTGTCCCTTAAGACGACAAACGTGACGCGACATGCAGCGAAATTTTGGAAAATATGGTTGTTATTGCACATTGAAGGACATCTCCGACATCTCTGTCCATCTTGCTGTCCATCTGTCAGTTTTTGAAGTGTATTGGTAAGTTTATTCATGTTTTAATTGTTAACACTTCGCTGATATGTAGAT